TGAGACCCACAACCCCCTACCATGGCAACTTCCACTGTGGAGCCTTTCCTCCATTGTTTGAGGCGAGGTGCTCTTCTGGGCCACATGCTGGTGAAGTGGGCAGCACAGTCGGCATTTCAAATTCTTCTAGCTGTTGACCCAAGAGTAAAGTTGTCTCAGTATCTGTAGCGCCTGGAAGCTCTTTGCTTTCAGAGGCTGGTACGGGCGGCTCTTCTGCAGTGGCTAGGTGCTCCTCTGGAATGGGTTGCGGAAGGGGTGGTGTTGGTGGCTCTTCTGGAATGGGTTGTGGTGGTATGGGTTCTGGTGCCAGCTGTGGTACTGGTGGCTCTTCATAATGCTCTTCGAGTGGGTCGTGATGGTTTGGGTTCTGGTGCCAGGGGTGGTACTGGTGGCTCTTGTGGAGTGGGTTGTGGCACGCTGGGTTGTGCTTCACAGGGTTGTTGCGGTGTGGGCTTTGGTGGTGGTGGTGCTGCTGCTGCTGGTGTTTTGGGTTGCTGCCCACTTGGGTAGGGTGCTTTGGGATTTGCTTTTGCTGCTTTGTCCATGGCTGGTGCAATGGTGAGAGGGTAGTGGTCGTACCACCTTGGTAGGTTCCTCATAGCCACTTGTTGGTCTTGTAGGTCAAGTAGGCAGCAACTTTGGCGGCATCTGCATGCTTGCGCACCGCCTGAACACCGAAGGGTGGACACCTAAAGGACCAGCACCACTCTCGGAGGCTTTCATGGCTCACATACCATGGGAGGCCTCCCACAAAGAGCCTCATTGTTTGCGCAAAAGTGTGTTGGTGGTGTGTGGTTCTGTTTCTCTGCCTCTTCCAAAGAACAAAGCCGTTCCTGTCTTCAACTCCAGCCTTTGACAAATGAAGTGCTGAACCCTTCAAGTAACTGGTCAAAATTGCATACAGCTTTCGAGACAAATCCCATTCGGTTGAACTCCAGTCGACTCCTACAGTCGTCCTACAGCTTCCTACGGTCAACCAAAACAGAAGCAGCAGCAGCCAACCAGAAGCAGCAGCAGCAGCAGCAGCCGTGGAGCATGGGCCCAAGGAGCTCCGCATCAAAACTGCCACAAATCCTTGACCCTTCACCCCTGTGGAAGCTGCCCTCCCCAAAGAACAAATTCATAAATACAACCAAGTGACAATCAGGCACACCATGGGCACAACACAAAACATGAGTTATAGATCAATACAATCTATGCTTAGACATCCCTGTGGAGTGCAGTTCTGCAAGGGCACACGGTTTCGAGTCGACTTTACACAAGCTGAGTCGACTTAACGCTAGTACCTAGTATGGTGCACAGTGGATGGAGAGTGGTTTATATACGCACCCCCGTCTTTGAAAGACATCTTGGCCCATAGTTGGGGTTGAATGTGAGATGTTGCTCTTCTCAGGCGCCAACCATAATTCTCACTGTGTCTCCACATCTGATGTGATTCATCATTTCCATTGAATGACCCTCACAACCAACTTTAAAAACACCATTTATATACCCTCCATCCAACAAACATGGAAGTGGATAGCCTGGCCCCGAAAGCGAGACTGTTTTCCTCTACGAACAGGCTGTATTCCACTTAATTATGATTGTTTCAGGGAGGGTTTAGGGTTTAGAGTGTAGGGTTCCCCTCCCTGAAACAGTTCAAGGTCTGCTTTTTAGGGTTTAGGCTAACCATTGATACACCAAAAACCACACACCAAAACCGATGCGCCACCCCAAAAAAAAGCCCGGTCCTCAGGCTCCTGAGATCGGACGATCTCCCATCCGCTGTTCTTCCGGTGCTGTCTGATCTGGTCTTCAAGTCACTTCTTTCTCAAACATCATTAAATCATATTGAGTTCAATCATCCCCTTATCATGGTTGACATGTTGAAACGAACCATCTCCGAAACGAACGAACCGTGTGACCGTAGCTCGTTTCCTGTGGCCGTGGAGTCGGAGAAGACGACGCGCCGACCCGGAGAAGACGCTCCACGTATCGCGGGCACTCAACGCTACCAGTACCAGTACCGTTTGGCTCATGCACCACAGTTAGCCTTCAGAAAGCCTTCGGGATCCTTCAGGAAATCACATCGGATGCTTGGAACTGATCTGGGAACTGGCAAACGAGTTCGGCGTAAACACCCCGCCGTTATAAAGCGTCTGGTGCGAGATACATCATACGCCCCGGCTGCCGGCTTCCAAGACCAAGAAAGGTGTTTGATGTTTTTACAACAAAACATTACAAACCCTGCCTATACAAATAATTAAGTTCAACATACTGTAGTTCAACCTATCGACTGGGTTCTAGCATGAACAAATGTGAACATGCCTTCATTAGACATCATTAGACCAACTTACACCGACCGTCGTTGTCTAACATTCAAGGATCCTGGGATTGGATCATAATGGTTTGGACTGTCCTCTGATCTGATGATACTCCAGTATACAGCAGATCCAGCATATCTGGGTTGATTCCGGTTTCTTTGCCGGGGAAACCACCAAAATGACCTGCGAAGCACTAAACCAAGCGCCCAAAACCGCCAGGGACGAGTATGTTTGTTCAACGCCATTCAACGCATCAGGAATCATCAGGATCAAAACCACGGCCATCTTGTTCAAACTTCTGGGATCTTGGAGTTGAGTTCATGAACTAGTTATAGATATAGAGAACTAGTTGAGAAGATATAGGTTGTTATAGTTGTTATATACTTGCGTCTCAACCTTATAACATCTTATATCTTGGACAGCTTCACGGGTCCCACGGCGTCCTGCCGCGCGGTTCCCCGCCTTCCCCGCCGGTCCCGGTGCCCACGAGCGGCCTTCGACCAAGTGAACCATGTCATCACGCCTCGGTCCGCTGGGTCCCGCCCAAGGACCGACCAATGGGACCACCCAAACACGACCGGACTGGGACTGGAGTATGTTTTTTTGTCCAAAGCATGCAACCAGCCCAAAGTATCTCCGTCTATACAACACCCTTCCTGAGGTTTTGGGACTGGAGTATTTATCATTTGACCCCAAGTCGTCGCACTGTAACGTATGATATGCAGGTTCTATGGAGTGCTGGGGGTATATATAAAGTCCTACAAGTCTGTCACAGTCCGACTCCCAAAGTGTGGCAAACAGCAATTGTTCTTACATCATTGGGCACTTCCAAAAGAGTTCCTTGAACACATGCTGTGCAACAAAACCCCCCAAGGAACACAGGAACACGTGTCCCTTGCTTTCATGGGTGGAGCGTGTCTGGCACGTACAATGGGTGCCCAGATTTCGTCCCGACTAGTAAGTATGTTGTTGCGGTTCCTAAGGCTCTCAGGGTGCCATGACGCACACGAATATTGGCCTCCTGCTGATGCTTTACAAAGTCTTCGTAGCTGTAGCACGACCAAAGTGCCTTGGTGACCAGGGTGCCCTTATTTCAGATCTGACTCATTGGCGCGAAGCTATAAATCCCTCACCTCTTGGCCAAAGCTAATGTCTTTCTCCCCTCCAAATCTGGTCTTTTCACCATTTGTCACCCACTTTCACCTCTCGAAATCATGGGGTTTTCAGTGCACTTTCGGTTGCATGAAGTAGCTCTGAAAGTGCCTCCCAAAAGCCTCCCGGAACTCAGAGGAAAGCCCTAGCAGACTCGGCAGCCTCCTAGACCGCAGCACCCGAAGGACTTTCACCCAGATTCCGCCCTTAGAAGGACGCCAGCACCTCCATGGTGAAGAGGTCCGCCATGGAGCGAGCGCGGAGTTGTTTCTGTTGGCACGGCTAATGCTGCTGATCTGGAGGAGGTTTTGAACTGAGGAGGTGGCTTCTCTTTGATGGATGTCATAGTATTTGAATGTGTTTGAGTTATAGTTCTTGCTTTTGGGAGTGAATTCCAAGCAAGTCCACTTAGAGACCTTGATGTGAGTTGTGAGATGTTGTGAGTCACTGGCTGAAAAATATCTTCCATGTCAAATCAGATGTGGATAAATCAGGATTTTAGCGCTAAACTACCACAGTGAGTAGGAAAACATGTGGCTTCAACTGGTGATATCCAACATCATCATCTTGATTGGCACTCTGCAAGGTAGCTTCCGCCATCTGTCCGCCCGTGAGCCGCGGATTCGTCGGTCAGTGGTTTCTCCACATACCGGCTTCTCCACTGATTCTTGATCGTCTGCGACTCTGAACAGGTCTGTGGATCTTGAAAACAAGTTGAGAGTTCAGTCTCAGAACACAAAGGCTGGAACATCTCTTGAGAACAGAAGATACTGAGCTTGAGAAGTCGACAACTCTAGTCTCTCTAGTCTAGTCTGATGCCAGTTTCTTGGATCCACCTGCGTGTAGCCCACCGGCTTGTGAGCGGTAGTGGTTTAACATCGAATATTTGCCCGTATTCATCGAAAACAATGAGACCGGGCAGGGCCACTCTTTTTAATCCATGCTATCCTGACACCCGGCTTAGCCGACGGTCAGCTATGGGAAAATGGGGAGTACACACTGCAAAACATCCTCTCATCGAATTTGATGTGTTCATCAAGATTCACTGAGAGGATGAAGTAATGCCTCCAGCTTTGTGCACCGATGAAGTCTGTAATCCATGCAAGAGGCGCATGCAGGACCTTCCGCCAAACTGAACGGTGTGGGTGAAATCACACCAACCAAAGAAAACGTCAACATGCGGTGGCAAAATAACAAACTCTGTGTGTGTCATGTGCCAATGACGGTGCGAAGATAGTGCAGGCTTGAACTTTTCACCCACCCCTGCAAAACTACTACTAAAGCAACACTGGCCGAAAAAAAAAACTGCAGCAAGCTCCTGCATCCATGGCCTTGTGCCACGCCAGCTCGGGTGTCTGGCGAGCAGGAACAGCTGCACTATCAGCCGGTCGCAAAAAATAATCAATATATGTTGGATCTGCCAGCGTGTAGTCATTTTAAAGAGCCGTGGACACTCAATCATTTGAACTCAACAAAGGCCCAACTTGGCTATTGACCATCCAAACATCCCAATTTGAAATCCGTGGCCGAGCAAGACCGTGCCATTCATTTCTTCTGCACGGTCTTTTCATTCCCCAGTAGCCCAGGCAACGCACCACCCGTGCAGGGCCCAGCCCGCTCCCACGTCGCTCCCATGTCGGTGTCAGACATGTCTGGCACGTCACTGGGCAGTGGTGTTGGGAGCAAGCATCTCAGCAAGTACCGTCTCAGGCCTGTGACCTGCGGTTTGAACGCCCCAGGTGTTGCTTTTCTGGTTGTTTTTTTTTTTTCAGGTGGTGCCAACACTGGAGGATGGACTGGACCAGGATTCAGGATGGATGGTTTTTCAAGAACGTGTCCACATGGCTAGCTTCTTGAAACTCACAAGAAGTCACATTCGATGACATAGCATCTCAATTGCTAGACGAACTAAACCGTATCGTTGTTTGGTTGGAAACAAACATGAGATCAGGATGCGAATGAAGGACGCTTTGGATCCTTTGAATTTACAGACGAACAAAAGAAGGACGCCCAGTCCCAGCCACTGTGGATGTTCGTTTGGTGTTTGGAGTCCAAGACACTATACTACAGTAACTATATGTACAACATAGGTCGGACAGGAACCAAGGCCTTCCCAAGGTTATTCGAAATCGACAGGATCCAGTGGAGTCACGTTCGGACGGGACGGGACGTTCAGGTGGGGCACGTCACGATGCACCAATTCGCTCGGAAAAAACGCACGGCACATCCATTTCCCAGACACGACTAATGGGACTGGTATATTTACCTACATTGGGGTGGTGCCAGAGGGTCAATGTAGGCATATATATGGCATTGACACCATCGTTTTCCCACCCACCCACCGTCAGCCACGGTGTCTCGTCTCGTGGCCCAGGTACCTCACCGGTCTGTTCCAATTCGCCATAGGCGGCGCAAAACCTCATCGCCATGCGCAGCGCTCCGCGCGGTTCGTTTGGTTTCAGCGCGGTTCGTCCGGGAAGAGTTCACCTGAAGAACTGAAGAACCGGACTTGACATGTGGACTGAAGGAACACTTTGTGTTCCAAATACGAGGAACAAACCATGGCTTAACCATGGCTTAACTATGGCTTGAATGGCTGAAGAATTCAGCAAACCCCAACGCTAAGAGCTTTTCAGCTGCTTGCGGGCCGCGCAGTTTCACCGTTTGACCTGGTCTCCGCTGCAGAAAGCGGACATCTGTCTTCCGGAAAACAGAATGAATCAATATGTGCCTTAACTGCTATAGCCCTAACATGCCTTAACTACACAGTGCAAAACACAATTAGAAGAAACAACAGCATCCATCAAAAACCACAAACATTAAGTCCACTGGCCAGACCACCCGCTTTCGGGTTTTTTCTTCGCGCCGTCCGGTGTGCTATACCCTTCCCAAACCTTGACCATGTGATTTAGTGCCCATCCACAAGCACCTTTCCATCCACATGCCCCAAAGACATCAGCCTCCCCCAACATGCCCAAATCCCGAAGCTCCCTACTAAGACCTCTAACTCCTGCCGTACTATGTGCCATGTTCTTCGCATTTCAACGTTGCACCGAGTAAAACAAGTCATCTCACTTCTCACCGCCAGCACCCACCCAGCCACCGCCACCGCGGCACTTGTGACGCACCGCCCGAGCGTGGAGTCTCTGGACGCGTTGGTGGATCGTGGGCGCCTGCAGCAGTTGCACCGCCTCCGCGTCCTGCGCGGAAAGCGTCCGCGACGGGAGAACGGTGCCGGGGTGGAATATGGTGGGAGAAAGGGAGAACAGGGAGAACGGGGAGAGGTACGGATGAAGGAAGACTTTTTGTGGATTTGCTGTAACAGAATCTCTGAAGTCAACATGACAATCAACGGCCAATCTGGGATCCTCAGCTGTCGAGATTCGCTTGGATTGGCTCACCTCGCACCCCATGCTACTCCCCAAATCGAAAAAAGGAAGAATACGGCGTTTCCAAGTTCCAAAGGATGGAGTTTTTAGAGTCTCATGGCCAAACGTTTCCACCTCAGAGTCGATTTCGTCTCATTTGGGAAAGCGACCAGTGTTTGACTGGACAAAAACACTGATTGAACATAAGGGAAGGCATGGAACTCCATGATCAGTTTAGTTTGATTCAGATTCAATGAACAAATCAGATTCAACATCTTCACAGTGTTCCATATCTCGTTAGTCCCAACATGTCCCAGCAAAAACCACCTTCCCCGGTATCGCCCCCCCTAGCCTTGGGAGCATTTCCGGTCCATGAGTGGAGCAGCTGCTGCGCCTGCGCAGCACTCAGTTGGGGGTCCGCGCTCATCACGTCGCGCCGCAGGCGACCCTCCAAGAGGCAGCCTGAGCGCTGTGAGATCAAGCTCAGCGGAGCGAGCACGCGCGGAGCGAGGCGCGCAGCGGGCGTTGCTGGATGTGGCGTTTGCCCATTCACGGGACGTGGAATGCTTTGGAGAGGGGTGGGGTGGGGGAAAGACGAGAAGGGGGAGACGTTGGGTCGAATCGGTGGGAGGGTGTGACAGCGAAGGCGTGGGCTGAGGAAACTCTTCACTGAGTTCAACATATTACAAGCAAGCGAGCAATCAATCCCAGACACTCCATGGGACTGGTATATTTACCTACATTGGGGTGGTTTGAGGGGTCAATGTAGGCATACATGGCATACATGGAGTGTCTGGGAATGAAGGTTCATTTGGGGCTTAGTAACTCAGTGTGTTTGGTACATCATGGGTGTGCTTTGGAGTCGCGAACCAAACGCTCAGAATGATGGTCTGTCTGTTCAGTTCACCTCGCGTGATGCCGTCACCAGGGAGCAAAACCCTTGAAAAATGAGCGAAACAGCAATTGGTCAGCATGGGCCCATCTTCTCTGTGCATGTGAACATGTTATAACATGTTGCCAGTGGCATGCACGGCGTGCCTCGAACAAAACAAACAACTGCAAATTATTAGGTCTCTGAGACCCTCTTTAAGCCTCTTTCATATTTCCCCAACCATGGTCAAGTGCACTCTTTTCCACCCTTTCGCACGTCTTGAGACGTTGTAGCCAACCACCATCTGGCCGCGGAAAACCGGAGAGGGAGGAGACAACTGCTGGACTCGAGGCCGATGACTGATGATTCCTACAAGTCCAGTCTGACTGAGTCTCAGCCAGGTCTGACTGACCTCCCTGAGTACTCTTTTTGTATGACCAACTCCAGTCAAATGAGGTCCAACTGACCTGTAGGGCTCAACTTCCCCCCAACCGCACGGTTTCCCCACACCTTGACCTATGCGCTGTGCTGTCCAGGTCACGTTTCAAGCGCCAATAGAAGAACTCCCTCGACTTGGACCACTGAAGCGTCTCCTGAGGGCGACGTCCGCAACAAGTCAGCCGGCGGTCGTTTTTGGGCGGCAAAGAGTTCTGGCGGGGCTTTGGTTGGGGGCATAGATATTTCATGATATTTCTATAGTGACCACGGTGAGGATCTCACCGTGAGGATCTGCGTTCCAGCATGGCGGGAGCTTCGGGTTTGACAGAACTATACCGAAACACAGATGTAGCAGGACCCAGAGTTGCTTGGCTCGAATATGCTATACCATATTAAGGGGAACTCTTGACAAGCGGCGGGTGAAGCTTCGCACCGCGCCGAGGTTCGCGTCTGAAGACGTCGACGAGCCGGTTCGAAGCAGGTTCACGTGGCGAATGGGAGACACGGACCGGTCGGGTGTTGGCCAAAAAGGCCAGACACGGCCAGGGCTTCCGCCCGAAGCTCTGCCAGGACCTGACTTAGCGTCACCACCTGCGACTGTTTCAGTCCTGTTGGAAGGTGCTGGATGGGAAATATGGTTTTCCAGCACCCGACTCTGCCGGAAGACCCGAAATGGTGCCTGACATGGAGACTGGATCGACAGTGGCAGCTGGTGGACGAAAATGACCTGCAGGGTGCGGCGAGTTCGAGCCGATGCGGAAAAGGTGCGTTGAGGAACATGTTTTCAGTCTTGACCTACCGAACCTTGCCAGGTACGACTGGAGGTGAAGACCAAGGATATCCAAGGATCCAGACATTGACATGCTCTTACCAGAACGCCAAATTGGTTCTTTTATAGTCTCAACACATGGACCATTGAGCCTGAATTTTGGGGAACCATGATGCCCAAAACGTCACATATTTTAGCACCCCATGAGATGCCATGCTATGCCCAACACTCCGCGCCAAGCATCTCTCACTGCGCCCACGGCCTTCATCCGCCCCACGCGGTCGTGCAGATCGGCGAACTCACACGCCACCTGAAGCCGTGTCCGGAAAAAACGGCCTTCCGGGAAGATGAAAGAACATGGGTGTGTTTGAGGCCACCCCCTCTGGCTGAACTTGGCTGAACTTGGTCTAGCCTTCCGTTTTAAAATGTTTTAAAGGGGTTGGGAGGTCTCCCGGTCTCCCCAGGCCCTATGTTCACACACACACACACGTGCGGATGGTCAAATATACATGAATTCCCAGGCCCTAAGTCCACCACACTACATCATTCTGTCGACTCACATTTGTTTGGTAACTTGTAACTAACAAGTTCCACCGAATATCATTAATGCCAAGGTCGGCTTTGCAAGAACTCTATCAAAACTAACATTTCTGAGAATTCTACGGCTTTCCAAAACAGGCAAGGATCATGGCACTGACCATTGGCCATGAGCAACCACAGTACATGTCCTGATTCCACCAAATGTCAATATTGACCCTCTACAGACTCAGGTCAAACCAGGCACCGAAGTGTAGAGTGGCTGGAGCATGTCTTCTCGACGTTTGATCTCCTGCGGCGCCCGATGACGGCTGAACTCAAACACCGAGGGCCAAGCTGTGTGTGTATATGCTTCGAACCACCTCAGATGTGCCCAGCTGTGTTTGTTCCGTTTCTTCTAAACAAAGCTGCCACTGCACGAGTGTCCTTGTCTGTAGCTACAAGCGTTCAGGTGACTCAGCACCGTCTGGTGCTTTCTTCTCCACTGTGGTCGATTCTGCATGTGAACATACTGCATGTGAACATGAAGGGTGTTAACCTTTAGAGGAGGTTAAGCAAACGCAACTCAAGAAGCTGAGCTGTTTGCAAGGAACAACAAAAGAGTAAACTAAATACCGACGCAAGCAAAACACACTTAGCATTCCAACCCGTAAAACAGTTCAGTTGAACATAATTACGAACTTATAATGTTGCGAACACCTGTTAAATCCTTTTAATGTCTTCATCGCATTCTACAAATCAGGACTCGACATCACTTCCACTTTGCACTTCCCAACAACAATTAGCGGCCAGCAAATCCTCAGCTTTCAACAACCGACGGCCCCATGCGATACCGCGTGGCGTGGTTGTCGAAACTTACAGCGCTACCCGTTCACCAAACATATTGGTTGTATTTTTTACGGTATACCTTGGGTGTATCCCGAGCTCCCTGTAACAGTGGATGCTGATGGTTACTAGAATCCGGTCTCAAACATAGTGACAATCTCTTACAGGTCATGTTACAGGTCATGGGAAACACAAGGTATACAGTAAATCCTCCTGGGGCCCGGCTCACACACATCAACAAGCGCACGGTTTTTCGTCCCGCAAACAGCTCGAGCCGGCTCTGCTACAATCATGTTGCAAAAGAATGCAAGAGACATCTAGAGCTCTTGAGCATAAAACTTGCCCTTGTCCAAACCCATCAAGAGGCTTGAGTCTGCTTTGTGTCTAATTGAAGTGTGAAGGAAAAACAAAATCAAATCAAATTCAGAAAAACACATGAACATCAAGTCAGACTCAAACTGCAAATAGATTGAACACAAACTCCAAAAAAAAGATGCAAGTATTATATATGTAGTTGTTCCTTGAGCAACGTTCCCGCGTCGTTCCTTCAGTGTTCTTTGAGTTTCTTGTGCTGCTTTCGGAGGGGCGTCGGTATAACGTTGAGAGTTCTTCTCGTTTCTTTCGGATATGTTGCTGAGCTTTATATTCTTTTCTTGATGCCTTCCGGAAAAGTGTATGTGTGTGCTGTGTGCCCCCATGAATGACTTGATCAGCAACATCTGTCCATCCACAACAGCAACGATATCCAGGGGACGTCTGGATGTTCAAGAGCACAAACAAAATCATAGAAACTATGGGTAACGATGGTGTTCTGCTCTCCCTTGGGTTGCGAAAAAGGTTTCAATACGTTTCTTAGGAAACCCGACGAGCGGACCAACAAAAGGTATCTTATAAGATACATGTTGACTTTTTCTTCCAAATACATGCCGGGGGGAGGCTTACCTCGCCTAGTACCTCGCCTCCTGCATGTGTTCACCGCGATCTCTGCTCTTTCTGGGTGGTGGTGATGGAACACCTCGATCCATTGACCCTTGACCAATCTTGACCATCTCCACCTCCACCTCCCAACACCAGTCTATCTCCTGCTCCAGCTCCTCGGACGGCTTCGTCGTCATCTGTGCGTCCAGCTGCCGCAGCTTGGCATCCAAGCGGTGCATCATCTCGCGTCGCTGCGGAGCACGGAACCTCGGAGGACTTCGTCGCAGGGCGCCGGTGACGGCTGAGGAGCGGAGCGAGCGAAATCCGCCACAGGGGTGGGGCGGGGGGGGGGGGGTGGGGCTTCAATAAGTGCGCGAGTCTTGAGGGAGCGGGAGTCAAGGAGATGTTTTAACAGCAGAATATCACCGGACCATACAGATCCATACACATGATGCTTCCCCCCCAGGCGCAGCAACCACAAGCGTTTGATGACTGAGATCCATCAAAACGTGTGTAAAACATGGGAAGATCCTATATATCAACATCATTGAACATCTGGATATTTGTTTCAATGTCTGCAAACATTGCCAGGCATAGATTGGTCAGGTTGTCGCAACACAATTAATTTGAGCAATCAACCGACGTGAAAACGCACAAAGCGTAGAACACATTAGAACACATATGAACAAATATTTAGACACCTCTGCCGGGCCCACCAACTCTCGAGGCAAAAGAACCAACTTGTGCAGGTCAGATCTGCTTTGACAAAGCCTACCCAAAGAGCTATAGAGCTCCCTCAGCCGACATGGAGGCTGACCTTCCCAGTGACCTAGGTCACTTAGATCCCACGAATCATGAGATCACTCACCCACGAATCCTGAACAGGTCACAGGTCACTGGGAAGGTCCTGGTAGAGAGTTTTAGTTTTAATTCATTGGATGCAAGTCTAGGCCATATTGCTGGGTCTACCACTGGCCCGCTAGTGGACGAGCGGGACAGGATTCAAACAAAGGCGATGGGACAAGGGAAACCAATATGGGGCCAATGTTTTTATTGCGAGTTGAACGTACCCAACAACTGCATTGGCATGGTGATGCTTTTGACGAGGGCCTATCGCTTTTCCAGGTTTCAGTTTCAGCCCACTTCTATATTCTACCACCGCTCTTTACATTGGTCGCCAGCATTTTTGGGGGGGCTGATGGATCGAATCAACTGCAAAATAGATGTATGGATATGTATTTCCTTCTAAGAAAACTGACTGGTGCGACTCGTAGGGAATAGACCTTCCTTTGGATCCAGCCACCCTCATTCCCTACTAAACGATGCCAAGCATTTCATGGGAGTCCGAGCTAGTAGCGTCCTTGCTCCTAGTAGCGATGCCAGCCAAGAGAGGTTGAACAGCCCTATAGCCCATCCCATATGTACCACTATACAGGGTCCTATATGGTCTCTCAACCTCTCTTGGAGGAGCCCCTAGTAGCGTCCTTGCTCGATAAAAAAAAAAAACAAGCAGTGTGGCTCCCGTCAAACCAAGCTGCTTCACCTCCACAATACCTGAGGAACTGGCAAGCGAAGGGTGTCACGCTTGCCATTGGAGACACTGTTATGTAGGTGGAGAGTCCAAGTACCTTCACACAGAAGGTACTTGGATCCCTAGGGATTGGAAACAGAACGGAAAAATTGGTGGCTTGGGAGGGCTCCCCTGAATTGCCATTTGGATGAAGGTATGACTTGGCCACTGCAGTGGGTCCTCAAACGGCAGGACGCCACGAGAGGACGCCGCGTGCTGGCCGGCGGAAAAAAAAGCACTCTGGTGCAGTTGCTCTCCAGGCCACGCACCACGCCCTCTAAGTTTGGACCCAGTTTCACACACTCTTGCGGGGGGCAAAACCCCCACACACCTCCCCGGTGGATCCGGGTGTAAGCGAAATGGCCACGAAAGAAACGCCACGAACCGGGTGAAATGGCCAGCTTCTTCCAGTCGTGACCTGACCTTGGAGTGTCGTGACCTGACCTCAAACCGGGGGATTAAAGGGTCACCTGGAAGAACTATGTGGTCAAACATTCATGAAACAAGAACAGAACGACTCTATATATATCCGGACTAGTACGTACCCAAATTGTTCAGCTGCTGCGTGAGGCTGAAGGTCTCACGTCAACCTGAAGAACTTGTCTACTTCACAATGACAAGACGTTGAGTTTTCTCATGCCCATTGAAGAGATTGGCTCACAAATGATGTGCTAACCAAGGAACAATCACTCCATTCATATTCACTGCATGAATTATACTCGATGAATTGAATCCCAATGAGACACGTCTAAGAAGATCAAAACAATCCAACCAAGCAGCCCATGCTCCCACCTCCAATTACCAGCAGCCGCAGACATGCTCAGACCGAACTTTTATAAAACAACAAGGGACACCAAGTGTCATGTGTCCCGGTGAATAGAAAGCAACTCGACTCGGGCCATTTACGAGGTGGATGGGACACCCCCGACCACACTGGCGCCCAGGTGCCTGCCGGCTCTAAAATGCCCCCGCGGCTGGCCTCGTCGGCATACCTTGCAGCGGAGCCGAAGACGAAGCTCCCTGGTGTTTGCGGTGAGGCACCTTCCCTCAATGTGGAGATGGGTCAAAGGTGGCTTGTGACATGACTGGCACATTGGATGGTCAGATCGGCCCATGGTCACGCTCGGAGGGGACACTCGCCCATCTGGGTCTTGGAGGTGTCCGACGTGGGTGTGATGGACTGTGGCAGAGTACTCGTCATCAGCCAAGATACATCTCCATGACATCTGGATTGATCTTCGGATCAACCACCACCCAACTGCCACCTCTCAGTTCTCCCTCGGGCGGGATGTAGACGAAGACCGGCTGCTTGTAGTCCACCTGAGTGATTTCGCTCAAATAGGGAGACCTCCCAGGCGTTCTGACCCCGAGGAAGAAGGAAGAATATGGACGAAACACCTTGGGCCAGGGGATCTTCCACCTTGGGCCAGGGGATCTTCCACCTCGGGCAAGGGGATCTTCCTATTAAAATACACATGTGTGACATATGTGCATTTCTGCTCGCTTCCGCTATGATGTGGCAGGGTCGGGATCCAAATGAGAACACTTCAACGAGGGGTTCTGAGGGTTCCTTTCCTTTTCTTGATGCAAGCCTCATGGTCACCAAATGCCATGCGCCATCATGCGCCTCTTTGTTTTTTCAGTGGCCAGCCACTCAAACCCTCTATCTCTCCAAACAAACTTGTCAAACAATTCTATAAACAGCTGGACCGCCGTTCACGCTTCGCGGCTTCTTATTGCTTCAGTCCCAGCTTAGGCTAGACATGCTAGGCCTCCAGTCCCAGAGAGTCCACGGGCCGTCCTTCCTCCCCCCCACCCGGTCTCGCACCGGTCAGTCCCCGCCGTCCACCGCCGTCCCGGCGGCCAGGGCATCCACGATCTGCGCGCCGAACTTCAGCACCTCGCCGTACATGTCCCGCGTGCCGCCGGAGAAGCCGCGCCAGTTGGCGAAGATCATCAGGGGCAAGTTCTCGCCTTGAACGATGTGAAACCACGCGGATGGCTCCGGTTCCAACAGCCGAAGGGGCCGAAGACGCAGTGGATGAGGTGGTTCTTTGTGTTATTTTGCGGTGTCTTTCATAAGCACTGGTGCAGGAAACTCCCACATGAAGCAACCCTGGCAGAACGGGAGGTGTCATTTGATACGGTCCATGCGCTGGATGAGATCAGAACAAAAGATTCTGCCGGGAATAGATGGTGAACACCCGCGGGGGCGGTAAGCATGGGAACTGTTGCCCGCCCCAATTGAAAACAAAGTGGATTGCATGAACATGCCATGCTCGAAAAAGCAGGTTTTCTTGTAAGTTCTGCTCAGGTGCCAGTTTTCTGCAGTTACCTGGTCTGAGAACAAAGGATTCCAAGCTCACTGTTTAGGACTTCCACCAGGCATCTTTTGTTGCCAAGTGTTGAAGTTTAACCGGGAAAAAAAACACCATTTGTTGCGAGGTGAACCAGAATGTGACATTGTACGACCGTCCCAATGGACACAACAATGCAAATCTTGGAAATAAAACAAAGCATGTTGCAAACTACCAAACAAACAACCGGCAACTACGGTATAGCCTGTAATAACCATTGCAGTCTACGTATTTCCCCTCCCCAACCGGGTAAGCATCCCCACAAATCCAAACAACCCAGGAATGTAATTTAACAGAAAAAACAAAACTGCAAAAAAAATAACAAAACAAAAAAAAAACATAAGAAACTGCCACCATCACCATCCATCACCCAAACTCAGTCCACCCCGAAGCCATCCAACAAATCATCCGCCCCCCCCCCAAAAAAACACACGTTTCCTCACTTCAAAGCCAATCTGAGGAATCTTGAGGAGAGCCACCCACGTTGAAGTCTCGGATGGCTGTGGCCGTCTTATGCGCGCTGTCCGGGAACCAGACTTGCCCCGCTTGAGGCTCCACGATCTCCCGACCTGGGACGCCGCGCAGCGGCGAGGGCTCCAGGGAGCGTGAAGATGGAACCTTGTCACCCTGGGGTATCTGACAGTGCTGAGAGTCTGGAACTATAGCTGAGAGTCTAGAGTCGACCCTAGGGTCCTGAAAACCCCTCTGCTGGAATCTGTGGGCAGCTAGTCGGTCAGGGTCAAGGGCCAAGGGATGATGTTGGCCATTGGTGTCGTGCTCTTATCGCCAGACCTTGCGCAACTGTATGCCCAAGTTGTGGTGCATCACATCCAAAGTTCGGTTACCCAGTAACTCCTCTTTCGTTTGTGGCTTGTTTTTTGGCAGACCGGCCTATGTGGTATGCAGGGCGGTGTGTTAGTGACAGTTGGTGCATGCAACACAGCTACCTCAGTCTCTGACCCCCTCACCGAAAACCATCTCCTCCTCCACAGATCCCATAGGATCTGAAGTGATCAAAGAAATCACCACGCGGCCTCCCGACCGGCTCAAGATGAACAGTTCGTGAACACTCAACAACCTACTCACAAAAACACACTCCAAGAAACTGTTTCCCTAAGAACCCCAGTGTTACCACACTTTTTGGAGAAAAAACAAGAAACTCAGATTCCAAAGCAATTCCAATTCACACCTCGTTCCGCGGCTCCGCCGGTCGCGCGGCTCGTCCCAGCGGCTCTCAGGGTTTCCCGGATCCGCCGGGATCTTCCGCTCCACGTTCCGCGTCTCCACCTGGAGCTGAGAGAGGCTCTCAGAGAATGGGGAGTGAGTCCGGAGTGAGTAGTAGGGTACTTGTGTATTGGGGAATTACTTTTCTGTGGCTTTGGCAACGCACGGGGCGCCGCCAGCAGCCAAGTTAAATATGTCATGTTCAAAAAGTTGGCTGGCCACAAGTCAGCGCAGTTTAGGTTTGTGAGAGGGCGCCTCCTTCACTGGAATGAAGCGCACTCACAAAAACCCAGTAGCTCGTCCGCACTTACCGTTGCAGGTGCACAGAAAGTCAGAAGCTGTTAAAGACCAAGCGCATTTAATGCGCCCTACGCATACCTCAAATTTGGTGTCCTGGAAGGGTGGACTTGAGCCAGTTCAAGGTTTGGGCCACTGGTGTTTTATATATAACATAAACTATAAATCAATTTGTATAGAAGTTCATTGTAGTTGTCTAAACAACATTTTCAAGAAATGGCCTCCACGGCCGCAAAGCAATTGCCGTTTGCGTTCTCTGTGATATGGAAAACATGTCACGATCAAATGCGCATGAAAATCAAACTGATTTTTCCGACGCAGTTGAAAGAGCGCTTAGCATTTTTCTGTTGTTCAAATCTCTATTCTTGGTTCCAACCATGTTGGAGCTTGGCATACCAGCTGCGCAGTCTACACAACATGTAAAGCAACTAATTGAGAATTTTGAATGGCAATTGCTGTGTGTTTTTCCGACAGATTGAGTCCGCTTGCAGCTGCGATCCACTGAACAACACGGAGTGTCTACTGCCCGGGTCGTCTATTTGCTTGACGGCTTATGAAAGCAAGTGATGAAAAGAACAGGATCGCCACCAGGTTTCATATGATGTCAATCTTCGAACCCCCCAATCGACCTGACCATGCACCATCCTTCCCCGCCATCCAGGTTGCCCCGCCGCGATGACACCCAGCGGGATACCGCCCAGGCGAGCGCGGCCGACCACCACGCTGCGGCCCCAGCCGGCCATGTACTCCACGAAGCTACCTCCATGGGGTGGCTAGGCAGGGTGGGGTGCTGGGTAGGGTGCTTTGGTGGCTTTTGGGCTTGGACTTCGATCAGATCCGAACCAACAGGGACGAAGAAGCCCGACAGCACCTCGGTCGAAGAAGCCCGACAGCCACCGGCCGTCGGGGCCGTTGGTGCCCGCCAGCATGTGCCGCGGGTCGTAGGGCGTCTTCGTCGGTCGGAAGTCCACGGGACGGTCCGCAGGATCCAGCGGGAGGATCGGCTGTGGCATGGACCAGGTATCCTCGGCAGGGCTCGGCTGAAGAGCAGCTGGCTGAAGAGCAGCTGGTTGCGTGGGGGTGCTGGGTGTCCTATAAGAGGGATATCCCGGTCACAGAAGCCTATATAGCTACAAGTAGGTCACCTAGCTAGGTCATCGTTTGGCCGGCGAACAACACTGTTGGGAGAAGTTCCCCGGTTCCAAATCCACTCCCAGTTTGGATGAAAGCGATGTGCTAATAGCCAAGAAAGTGGAAGACGTCTAGGTTCTAAGTTAAGTCTAAGCTTGTTTCTCCACTATGTCTGAGTGGAAACCCTGTCCCTTTTTTTGGGGGTTGTAAAGGATTCAAGGACCTCAGCCAGCTTTGTTCCTCTTCGCCAAACTCCCGAGTGTCTCTAGGCACGAAGGAGAGCCACTGCAGGATTGCTTCCGCGCCCTCCTGGTCGTTCTGCACCAACCTGGGTGTTAAATGCATCTGAGTCTCAACTTCCTAGCAACTTCCTAGCATTCCTACCCCACCATCATGCGAGGGATGACTTAAATTGGTGGAGATATGCAGGGATTTACAAAAGTGCCCTTATGGCTCAGGGTTATCAGTGAACTCATGGTGTAGGCCATGTATGCTATACTGTACTGACCAATGAATCACTGTCAGTTGGGGTTCCAGGTCCAAACAAAAGAAGGTACAGTAATGCAACTGGGCCTTGAAGAACTGCAGTGAGTGTGTGTGTGTGACCCCTTCCTGGTGGTGAGCCTTGACGTCTCCATGTATAGCACGCCTTGAACGCTGCCCAGCCCGGTTCACCGTATGTGCTGGTGCCTTCACATCCGGCACGGTACGACGTGAATGGTCCGGGCCACTGGTGCGTGATGCCATTGGGCACCATGATCTGAGGACCTCCCAGCTGGTCCTGGGAGAAGTAGACCTCCGTCATGGACCGAGCGAAGGAGCTCCGAGGTCAACACCGGAGCGGCTGCGCGGCGGTGTCCGGCGACGAGACCGTGCCGCGCACGAAACTCGGTCCGCCGGTGCTCGGGCCAACCGGAGGACTGATCGATGTGGCCATGCTTCGATCTATGTGGACCTCGATACAGGTGAGGCCTAGCTGCGTGTTCAACAAATACCGCATCGCCAGCAACTGTGACCTGTGTTCCTGCTGGGACAAACTCAACATGGTCAACCGTGCCACCCTGTCGAGTCTTTCACGATGGCACTGCGAGGAAGCGACAATTCTGTATGGTTTGCTTCCTTGTGGCACCAACATATAGCACACTCACCAACACACAGGGCAGCCCGGGTCAGCAGCAGGCTGCTGATTCGGAATGGATTCAACAGCACGTACCCTGAATCAGGAAAGACTTTAACGTACCCAACAACAAGAAGCTACTAGGTGGAGGACATCGCTAGGGGCGGTTGGAGGCCACCGCTACGGCCGAACGCAAGAAGCCTTGAAAACATTCCCAGCTTCAAACCAATGACTCGTTCGGGGTGTCTATGTAAATAGCCCCAAAAAGCTGTGATTCGGGGTGTCCATGTCTACCACCCAAAACCAGGGGTCCTGGTACCAAATCAGTTTTTGTTGAGGTCGTCCAGGGTCCCATATGGTTGCATGGTCCAACGATAGAGATCTCGATCTTGTCTCTGACCCAGGACCCAGGCAGGGACAAGATCGAATGAACTACTGGACGTGGTCATGCAACACGACGTAAGGATGTAAAAGACCAGGTTTTACTGGGTCAAACTGGACTTGTAGGCCTATAGTTACTGCCTATAGGGTATATATATCCTTTCAAGAGCACCCAATAAGCGGCACGTTCGAATTGCATGGACCGACTGCTCACCGAGCGACGTTCTTTCCCAGCAGCTTGTTCAAGGCGCTGTATCCCGTCAAGACCTCGTTCGAGGCGGGTGCCGATGCCCATGAGACCGCTGGGGGGGAGGCCGGTCGATTCGTTCGACCGGATGTTCAGATGGCAAAACACCACCGATGTCCATGAGGCCACCGATCTTCCGGACATTGGGAGATTCCATGAGATTCTCTGAGTTGCTGTTTACTTTGATTGAGCCATATCCAAAGATCTACTGTAGACTCTTGATTTAAACAGAGAAACAATATGAAGAGGATTGAGGCTCAATCCTTGAGCCATGTCCCAAATCTGGTCAAACATCAAACCACCAAACACTCCATGGGACTGCCATATTTGGAGTGTTTGGGACTTGCTTGGTGAGCTTCTAGACTCACACACACCCCACATGAAGAGGATGTTCGCAATATTCCCCAAATCTGGTCAACATCTACCAGGGCCCCCTGTTTGGGGTGGCTAATGGATACCCCTTAGCCTCTAAGGAGCTTTAGACATCCACACTGCTTATACCAGGACCTTCCTTCTGAGGTTATACATAGCCTCTCAGAGGTTGAGGAGGTGTTTGAAAAGCCACCGAACTTGGAAGGTCCACATGTAGATTCTACATCCACAACTGCTTATCCCTGGACCTAAGTAGTGTAGGGGGTGTCCTGTCTGGAGATCCCTAGGTGGGCTCCGGCTTCCCAGGTGACCCCGTTTGAAGGTGCCTAGAGTGAGCCTGCCCGCCCCCCTTGCTTGCCAAAGGGGCCAAGGGTCCATCGCTGCTTTGGATCACCCGTTGCCCCAAGCGGTTCAGGTACGCGCCGATGCCCACCGAACGGCCCGTGACGTAGGACAAGGTGAAAATGTCCTGATAGGCCTCAGAGTGAGGACTCTTGGGTGGATGCGGACTTTGTTGATGAGGATTGTTTGAGGATCTAAGGATCGATCGATGGATCTAAAGGTTGAGGATCTAGGATTCCTCCTTTTTGGATGAGGGTTGAGGATCTATAGGGATTTGGAGTTCTACAGTGCAGCCATGTGGTTTGCAGAAGTGCTACGCACACGACGCTGAGAATATGCCTAACACGGCACCTAATTATGATTTGTCCAACTGGTGCGCTAGTGGTGGCCATTCAACATGGTTCAACGATTGCCTGCGACTTGGATTGTGTATGCGAAACGATCTGCTTTCTTGATGACTTGCATGACTCTGTGCTTCACTCTGTTCCACATTGGAGTCTCCAATCAATAGTGTCCAAGAAACAACACAACACAACACAACACCAAAACAATCCAAAGCCAACCCAAGTTCATCCAATTTCTGCACCCAAGCATACCAGAAGCAACCCCCCCCAAACCATGCATGTTCAAATCCTTAGGTACACAATCCTTTGGTTCTGCAATGTTGTGAGGAATATGGTCAAGAGTCTAGACCTGTATTAAGTACAGCATTCCCCTATTGTTTTCTTTGAACTATAATAATCATAGGTATTGGAGCTGTGGAGCAAAACACACCCGAATCAAAAAAAAACAAGAAGAAAACAAATGGACCGTGCTGAGAAATCCACACCTTTAACCATGTGTCCGAAGTAACAAATAGGTCAAGCGGTCAAACATCCTTATGGAGGGGTTTTGGCAGGCTGCTGGTGAGATGTTCGGCTGTGAGATGTCCACACTTTACTCTGTTTGGTCGACTGAACATGATTAAAACATCTAAGTATAATGATATAACCATAATTTGTACTATATAATAGCGTAATAACTAGAATAATAGTACTATATATTTAATAGTACTATATTTATATAACCGTATATTTATATAACCGCAATATAACCCAAATGCTTGATCATGGATCGCTCACCCTTGGGGGGGCTTTGGGGGTCTCCCAATCCTCCCTCCGAGTGTCTCATGGTCTCCAGCTTCAAGAGGGCCATCCCAATCAACAACCTATCAACATATGTATCCCAGGAGTCACAAAACAGGATGGTTTGGAGTCCCATCCAGTGAGTGGATGGATCATGGGCACCCCTAACCCTAACCATTAACCTCCACATGGATCGCACTCCGACATGTGACTCCACGTATCGAATCATTCGCTCTTGGAAGATCCAGGGAATTCACTCGGCATGTTAATGTTCATGTCAACTCATCAAATTATTTCCCCCAACCAAACCATCAACCAAACACATCTCGGCACCTCCCGCGTGGTTGATTACACCTCTGCTTTGGTTTCCAACCCCCAGCTCAAGTCAACCACACACCAGCTCAGCTCCAGCGACCCACGCAGCCCACGGTCTCACCCGCCACGGCACCCGCGAGGTCTCACCGGCGATCAGCCCGCTGCCCTGGAGATTCTCCACGCCGATGCCGCCCGCGATGGAGCCCAAGCCCTGTCCCACCACGGCTTCCAGGGCATACCCCACACCTGAACGTGGGAGAGTGAACATCAGGTCGGAGAGGGCTGACACTATATAGTGGATTGAGAATAGATGGCGCAATCCCCCCCAGTTCGGTGGTTTATATGGATCCCCATCTGTCTAAGACATCTTGGGGTGGGTGCCATCGAACCTCTGAAAACACTGTATGTCATGACATGGGCAACGCGGCAGGTGTGGTCCCTGGTACCTGATGCGCAAGCTCTGTGTCAGGCCACGAGGCCAGCTCTGCTCGGGTGGAGAATGGAGGTTCCGAGGAATCGCACGCGGAATCGTACACTGCGACCAACATATTAGAGTGACCGTCGGTATATATGTGGTGGCCCAACAAATACATGCACTTGTTCTTTTTGGTGTGTGTCTGTGTAAAGCAATTCTCTTTCTGATCACTTGCATACCTCTGGTTTTCACTCTGTTCCATAATTAGAGTCTACTAGAGAGCCTTTTCACACCCAAACAACCCCAAGCCGACCTAGTCTCTGTCGTTTCCCCCCCAAATCGACCGTCTTCCCATCACCTCGAAAACCCACCACCACGGCGCCATATGAACGACGCTGTTTATTTGTTATGTGGGCCTTGCACATTTCAATTTGGTGAGTGCATTATCGTTTTCCACGTTTTGAACCTTACTTATGTTAAAGGTTGTTTTCACAACGCAGCAGACTTTTTGGACATGGAAGCAGACGTGCGACGGTCAAAACTCTTTCTGTGTAGTAAGGTCATGGGTATCGCCTTCTATGGTGGCATCGCTACACACAGCGCCAGCATTGTTCTTGACTTGTCGCCGTTTGGTGGGGGCAGTAGTAGCAGTAGCAGTAGCAGTAGCAGTAGGATTAGTAGTGGTAGCACTAGTAGTACTAGTGGCAGTAGTAGTGGTAGTAGTCGTAGTAGCAGTAGTAGTGGTACTAGTAGTACTAGTAGTACTAGTAGTAGCAGCAGTAGTGGTAGTGGCAGTAGGAGCAGTAGCAGTGGCAGTGGCAATCGCAGTGGCGGCAGCAGCAGCAGGAGGAGGTAGTAGTCGTCGTTGTAGTGGTAGTGGTAGTGGTAGTGGTAGTGGTAGTGGTGGTAGTGGTAGTGGTAGTGGTAGTGGTAGTGGTAGTGGTAGTGGTAGTGGTAGTAGTAGTAGTAGTAGTAGTAGCAGCAGCAGCAGCAGGAGTAGCAGTAGTAGTAGACCAGCCATGTCTTGCGCTTGTTTGGAGGATACTTTTCAGATACAAGTGGGGCACTGGTTTCGTAGCACAGGTTCGTCTACATTTACGTTATCGTTTGGTTATCGTTTAGGTTATCGTTTGATCACAGCTACATTTCGGACAAACCTGTCGCCAAAGTCCGAAGTCAAATACGGCTTTGGGAAAGGCTACACTAAGCAGAAACGAGGTTCCCTGATGGTCTTCACGGTTAAAAAGCTGTACTGCAGCTATGCAAACTAAGCTTTCCGAAAAAAACATGATGCATAGCTATCAATATGTTATTGTTTTTTTGATGAGTGTATTATCGTTTTGCAAGTAAAATGCAAATTCTGCAATCCCAATGTCGGGTCCTTTACTAAATACCTTTGCGTAAATAAATCAGGTTGCTCATATGGATGTTGAATACCTTATAGGTACACCAGGAATCACACGTTCCGCCGGTTCGTTCGGAGCGAGTTGATGGTGGATGAGTCGCACGACCTGTATGGGGTAGTCGTCTCAAACAACTAACAACACTATACAAGATATGCACGACACTATGCTCTGGAGTCCCACTTTTAACATCCTTTCACCATGGTCCTGAAGTGTCCTGAATTCACAATTAGAACACCACTATACGAGTACAAACCACATCTTCCAGTCTAAAGATTCTGGTTCGATCGTTCCCTCACCATCTCTCACCTGGCACAGCTCGTGCAATCACAGCGCCACTGGGCAAACTCTTATAATCTGCCTGGCCAGGCAGAAACTGTGCCAAGCAGTCGCACCCGGGCAGGTATCAAACGAGATCCATGGCGGCGTAATTATATGACCTAATAAATTAATGCACCATCAAAAACCACCAGTCATGTAGGCGATATTTGCGGAAACATGAATGACCTGGCATGAGTGAACCCCTCGATGGCTTATGATGGCTCTTCGTCAGCGACGGTTTTTTTCGGCCGTTCGGGCGATTTGGTTCCGCACCACATGCAAGTCCACAGACTTCTCTGAGACTTCTCTTGAGTCGAGCTGAGTCGAGCTCCCTGGTGGACCGTGTGATAGTCAAAAGCATGCTCAACAACTTCCGTCGGGTCGTCCAACCAATTGAAGGGTCCAATTTCCGAACTCCGACTCCGATCGATCTGACTCCTCGTCGACATGTTCCAAAAAGAACAATGTGTTGACTCACTGCCAATTACTTGGGCCCCAAACAAAGAAAACAGAGATCACAACATCAAGACGAAGCAATTTAGATTGTTTTCTTTTTTCTTATTCTTCACTCCTGCCAATTTTTGGCCCCCAAAACACCTCGACCATCAGGTGGAGTTCCTTTCGCTCCACCTGGATCCTTGGGAAAAGCCCTCGCTTCCACGCTTCCACCAGACGCATGTCTTGCCCACGGCTATTTCATCACCTGCCTCAGTGAGATAGAGATATTCAAAGCCCTTGGAGGGGTCTGCATCATCCTTCCACTGAACACCTCGGTGGATTTCACAAGCACAGTGGAACAGGTTGGCGTCATCAAACTGCTACTCTGTCTGAAGATGCCTCGGCATCTCTATCTGTGCCACAAGGATTTCCAGCCATTCCATCTGTCGCACGCGCGTGACGTGATGTCGGTGACGCTCTGGTCAACACGACAAGAACAAAGAGAAGGGATTCCCCAGTGAAAGGAAGCTAATTATCACACACGGAAAGAGAGAAGGCCCACTTAGTCAGTTTCTGACCGTGTCCTTCTAACAGAATGGCTGCAAAAGAATTCATTTCCTCATCCGAAACGTACGGTCTTGCTTTGCATATCGAACCTTTAGGAATGGCTCGGCCGCATTTATGGGCCCACATAGCCTCATGTTGTCCTGGCAGGACCTTTTGTCCCTCACACGAGTAAATAACTCCACAAGCTCTTCGAATCTTCTTTAGGAGAGTCACGAAAGTGTCAGTATCACGCGAAACACTCTCCAGTGAAAAAACGCCGCTTGAAAAAAGAAAAGTGTTAACTCAACGTAGCCGACCGACAGATTCTCACCTTGTTTCCATCGCAGGGCAAGAAAAAAGAAAAGTAGGGAGGAAGCATCACTACTTCCAAAAACCTGGCGCAGTCGCTCATCAACAAGACGACTCGTTGTAGGCATCCAAGGAAAGTCTGCAAGAGAGGACTGCCACGCCCAGTCAGGAAAACGATCAGAGAAAGTGAATTCTTTTCCCGTATCCAACAATTCCTCTTTAGTCGTATAGTCAGCTTTGACACCTAGCTCATCGCCAATCGTATTATTGAGCAACGTAAGTTGAAGTTTGCGGCAATAGGCTTCGTGTTCAAGTGTTTGAAAAAACATTGACATCAACCAGAGCAAGTTGAATTGCCAAACTTTTTGCCGCTTCGTCCGCAACTCGATTGCACACAATATGCTCTCTGGGGAGACCAATCTGACGAGCAGTTTCCTCTGAGATAGCCTGGATGGCAATGTCATCACAATGTATGCGCTTTATCCAAGAGAGACGAATAGCATCCGGGTTTTGGCGTCGTCTCCACGTCCAGAGTCTGTGAATTCGCTTCCACCAGGAGCAGTGGCTCCATGTAGGATCAACAATGTCGTTGTCACACAACAAACCAAACATTTGCACGACAGTCAACCAATCCGTATAAATATGAATACACGAGTTGCACAATGTATTGGCAGCCAAAACAGCATACAGTTCCGTCGTGTAGGAAGTCACATTGAAATGATTCACACGGCCTTGGGATATGCAGATGGCCTGCTCATTGACAACTGCATATGTACCAGTTGCCCAGTAACTCTTGGCACACAAAACGGATCCGTCCGTCCATCGCCTGGCGAGCGGAAGGTGCGGGTGAAAAACATCAACCTCCGAAAAAGGCCACGATTCAAAATGCAAACGAAAGTCACAAATGGACGGTGGGTGTTCAACAACACCAAAGTTGAGGAAATTGGGGCCCAGCTCATGGAAGTTTGCATTTCTCAACAAAGATGGTGCATGGGGGGCACTCTTGGACAATGTGTTTAAGCGATTCTTTAGTACTTGCGCAAAATCTGCATGAGGGGTCATCAGTGTACCCAACTGCGGCTCTTCTGTCATTAGTGATGGTACACCCGACAAGTTGTGACTCAAAATGATAGAGAGTCCTTCTTCTGCGTCGGAGGTTTATACTTCCTGACAAAAGCAGTGGATAAGCGAAAATCCAACAGGCCTGTGGGCTTACACAAGTCTTTGTGGGCTTTGGCAGCAGTAGCTTCATAGCATGCTTGTCTGCCCGTGACATGAAGAAAAGGCCGGAAGTCCTTAGGGGATACGTCCAGAATACTGAACCGGCAACTGCCAATGCCACACGTCAAGTCTGGAAAATGCCGAATGTGAAAAACCTCAAGTGCCTGGGTAGCCTGCTTAATTATCGACTGGCTACACTCCAATGATGCATGGAAAATGTCCTGGCCAACAAGCAGGTTCCATTGCTGAGTAGCATCAAAAGCACGTCGCAATGCCTCAAGATTGCTGACATGTGCCCAAATATACGCGTCATCAATGAAAACACATCATGTCACCTCAGGAAGGAGCTGCATAGATCTCGACCATACAGTCATGTATGCATTGATGGCGAGAAGGGAAAAACTACAACCTTGGGCAACGCCATTGGCACAGGTGAAATGATCCTTTGAGACCCATCCGCGGTAGGACAAATGCTTTTTGAGATTTTTGTAAACTTTCAAAAAGATAGAGACGATGCCCTTAGGAACTCCCAAGGCAAGAAACAAAGGCCTGCAAAATCTGTGATGATGCGGCCAAAGCATTTATTTTGACTGGTCAAGCTTTTTTTTCCAGCCATACCTCGCGCCGACCTGGTCCGGACGGGCTTATTGCAAGGCGTTGGCACAGCCAAAGAACGGTAATTAAAAATCTCTGTTCAATGCGGCTGCATATATTTTTGACTGGTCAAGCTTAATACCTACAATAGGTTGGGAATGAATATGGGCTTGGTCAATATCTAATCGAAGAGAAACAGACACCTCGGACACGCTTTCTGCCCTTAATACCACCGCAAATTTGTCTCGGAAGAACTGAGGTCTGCCAAGCTTGCAAATGTCTGAACCTGGTTCCTGTGTAAGCCAAAAGCAAGGGCGACAGCACTGTAGTCAAACGCTTATTGAGCGGAGTTTCTGGACCCGCTTTGTGAAGGATCACTTGCTTAGCCCTGCCAAGGATCCGAGGAAAGGAACCAAGCTCATCACACTCAAGACGCTGGAAGAACGGAGCGATGGCGTCACAGCACGGAAGAGGTAACGTCTGCAGCTCTATGGTGCGCCATCCGTCCAATCCCGGGGCCGCCATCGGTTTCGAATGGTCAGTGGAATCTCAGAGCCTGTCAAAGGCGGAAGATGCCAAGGCTGGATGTCGTGGTCCATATATGGCCAGATTACTCTAAGCATGTCGGACGGATCATCATGTAACACATTGGCGCTGAAAATGTCATCCCAAGTATTAATGATTGTCTGCATTGCATCGGCAGGGTTATAAACAATCTGACCTGCATGATCGACAACCAAGTTGCTGGGTTCATGAACAGCTTTAGTACGCAGATGTTGGAAGATATACTTTTTGGACCCTGATGCGGACTCCCGAAGTTTCTCACGCCACTGGAGAATGCGAGACTGCGAGACATCTTCTTCTCTTTCTCCCAATTCGCAGCCTCCTGCTTGATCCATCAGAGATTTGCATCGATTTCAACCAGATCGGGGAGGGATTCAGAGGACCAAATCCACGGCGGCAAGGAGACCGTTTCGACATCGACGGGCAGTGGTTCGAAAAAATGAGGAAATCCTGATGTGATTTACACATTCTCTGAGCTCGGACGAAAAGCTCTTGTAACCGGCCCATGGTGTTATAGAAGATGGATGCCTTCTTGGCAGTAGCGGCACCGGGCGGGGTTTGTCCAAGGCAGATTTTCTTTCGGGCGAACTTGGGAGAGTGTCCTCTGGTTCTAGGACCAAAACCCCATCTGGCCCCTGTATTTACCAGCGTTTCAAGGCACAAGCCATTGACGATGGACCATTCCCTTGCAGGACAATGGGCAGCTTCAAAAGGTGGCGGAAACTTCCGTTCCCACAAAGAGGAAGCACCATGCTCGAAGTCTTTGTATTGTTCCGAATTTGGGACCGGGACAGCTGAAACATGCCGGGGAGCAGTCTTAACGTGTACATCCCCTTCCAAAAAGATGGAAGGCCAATGGAACGAGGCAGAGATTGGCCTATGCTGTTGATTGAGGGTTTCCAATACATGTATATGCCTCAAGGCCGCAAAGGCAACTCTATTCAGGATAATGCCGTCAATAGGTGTAAGAGGACGAAAGCTAAGACCCTCGTTGTCGACTTGAAGCAGGGGGTCTTGCCAACCACACATGTGGATAGCATTTGAGATTGATTCATAGTTGAGGGGGGCAGTCTGGAAGTCACCAGCCAAGATGATTGGGACATCCCCATATTGCGAACAAATCTCAAAAATGTCACGAAGAAGGGCATCATTTTGTTCAAGAAGTTCTTGACTAGCTGAAGCTCCCGATTTCACATAGATGGAAAAATCAAGACTTTCGTGTTTGGGGTGACTTGGGACCAACAGGCATTGGCTCTCTTAGACCTAAAAACATCGGAATAACGGCCTGACACATCCTCAGTTGGTTGACAAGGTCGAGTGAGCTCACTGCATGCAATTACCGCGGTACCCCCGTGCATGGTTGTATGATGTCCATCTGAACGAATGATTCCGGAAAGAAGCTCACCAGGGAACAGAGAGCGGCCAATCGATTCAACATCACGTGTGGCAGAACGAATGTTGTTTCTACCAATCCTGGTTTCCTGCAAGCACAGGACATTGTCCGAGGAGGATTTCATCAATATCCAATATAAAATTTCCAATCGCCTCAAGCTTCTGGCGGCGGCGGCGGTGGCCCCGCCGGCGATTCACGTGCCTCTGTCTTGCCCTTGCGAAGCCAATCCACTTTGCGCAAGGTGGCTTTGAACGACACCTTCTTTTCGCTGTAGATATCCAGCCATTCTTATCCAGTTGATATCTGACGTGAATCCCAATCATACCAGTACCTTTACTTCCAAATTCACGTGGAAGGGCCCTCTTCCCGTCAGCGTGGTCAGCAAAACGGTCGAATCCTCCAGTCTCAATGGATTTAGACCTTTAACAACCACTGCATAGGACTGACTGTGGAGCCTACATTTTCGTGGAAAAGGGTCCATGGGACATGGAAAACCATGGAAAACCAGACCGATGGAGTGTCTGAGTTTCTACCATAAAAATAGATCTGAAGATTTCGTCCTAGCCATCCCTACAAAACGGGCTCGGATTTAATTTAGGATTTTTTTGTTTTGTTTTGGGAATTTTTTGTGTTTTTCGTGTTTCGTGGCAGGGGCAGTACTTTGTGGACCTTGAAATGCTACTTTGTGGACCTTGAAATGCACATTTCGTGGCAGGCGCAGGACTTTGTCGATGTTGAAGTGCGGATTTCGTGGCAGGCGCAGGACTTTGTGGATGTTGAAGTGCAGATTTGGTGGCAGGTGCAGGACTTTGTGGGACTTGGAGTGCAGATTTCGTGGCAGGCGCAGGACTTTGTAGACCTTGAAATGCAGATTTCGTGGCAGGTGCAGTGCTTTGCGGGCCTTGAAGTGCCGATTTCGATTTCGTGGCAGGTGAAGGACTTTGTGGATGTTGAAGTGCAGATGGATAGATAGATAGATAGGAAAGAAAGAAAGATAGAAAGATAGATAGATCGAGAGATAGATAAATAGATATAGACAGACAAATGGATAGGTAGACAGATTTGC